TGCAGGAAACATGTGCACGCGTTTTCCGTGACGAACTTACTTTGTCAAAAGTAAATTGTTGGTAGTTGCTTCGCGATGTCGAAGTTCTTGACTGTGTTCCAGCTTGACGCAGATCTGTAGAGTGAGTTGTTGTCCTCTGTTTCGAATCATCTGGTGCTGTCGTTGCGATGCCCTTCGTTCTCTTGCAAATTCGTGCTGCAACGAAAGTGTTGAAGTCGTGGTATGGCTGCGTCGTTCCTGCCGATGCAACAGTTGCTGATGCGTTCCGAGGATTATTATTATTATTATTATTATTATTATTAAATTTTTGATAGGGCAATCCCCACAGGCCTAAGGCCTTTTGACAGGGTACCCTAAAAAATGAAGAACAGAATTACGGAAGGTATGCAAGGAAGAACTTGAGCGGACCTCCGCTGGGAGGGCATTCCAGCGGTCAGAGCCAAGGAAAGTGACAGAAAATAAACCATAGCGACGTTTGGCTGTCGGAAGAGCAAGGGAAGAGGACACTTGAGAGCGGGTGCGAGAACTAGTGCAGGTAGAATTAGAGCGGAGACAGAAACAGTTAGCAACAAAGACACTAGCCAGATCATGAAGCGCACGGTACGTTAGAACGTACAGCTTGAATTGGTACCTGACAGACAAGGGAATGATATGGTAGCGGGCAAGAACAAGGGAGACATCAGATAGGCGGGGCATGCAAAATACAATACGCAGCGCTCTATTACTAAGTCGGACAACACGGTCATGGAGGGAGGCAGAAAGGCAGTGAGCAAAGGAATTAGACCCATACTCAAGTATGGACTGAATGGAACAGATGTAGAAAGCCCTCTTAGCATCGATCGTTAAATGGTCTCGGACCTTTCTAAACATTCCTAACTTACAGCCTATTTTACGTTCTAATTGTGCAATGTGAACTCCAAAGGAGAGATGTTCGTCAAGAACTATACCGAGGTATTTCACGTGTGCACTAGGGGTGATGGTGACATCTTCAATCTGAACGTTGACATCGGGGTCAAGAGGTTTCGACTTTGGCCTGAACACAACAAGCTGGGTTTTCGAGGAGTTCAACATAAGACCTCTCGTTGCCAAGAATTCCTTTACTTTGATGATGTCCTCTGTGAGGTCTTTGCATAAGTTCTGGACATTCAGTGATGGGTCGCTTGACAATGGGAAGGCGTTGGAGGATGAAGCCGTCATGTCGTGCGTTCAAGCAAGTGCGAAAGTCGTGAACGATCCCTCGATTTCTGATAGTGCACCTTGCATGCCCCACGGCCCTCTACCTGAATACTCATTAGCTCAGTTTTCATCAGTCAGTGTTCCGGAAGTGCAATTCTACATCCAACGCATGAAAAGCCGTAAAGCCACCGGACCAGACAATGTTCCAGTTGCTGCTTACAAGTTAATCAACGATGAGATTGCTCCCTCACTATCCAAGTTGTTATCTGAATCTCTGACGTCTGGTGAATTCCCAGCTCCGTACAAGTCAGCCCATGTTCGCCCCATCCACAAGCGCGGTGATAGGTCGGTCTCCTCCAACTACAGACCAATATCACTGCTCCCCCATATGTCAAAGTTACTTGAGCACATAGTGCATGATCAACTCATACGCTACATCCAGAATGCACCACCCGCACTGCAACATCTCCCTGCAGAGCAATTCGCCTACCGCAGAGGCCACTCCTGCGAAGACTTGCTGACTTGTGTTACCAACGATTGGATGCTTGCCTTGGACAAGGGTGACTACGTAGTGGCTGCCTTCCTTGATATGTCAAAGGCCTTTGACACTGTCAACCACAACATGTTACTTCAAGAACTACTTGAGATTGGTATTGGCGGAGTCGCTCTGCAATGGTTTCACAGCTACCTTACAAACAGACAACAGTGCGTGGTCACTAAGACTCAACAAGGGCAACCATACACAAGCAACAGAGGCGTTCCACAAGGCTCTGTTTTAGGGCCGTTTCTATTTAACTTGTCCGTGAGGAAACTCCCCGCTGTGCCCAAACACTGCAAAGCCCGTCAATACGCAGATGATGTGTCTTTATACAGGGCGGGGAAGAATGTCCAGAACTTATGCAAAGACCTCACAGAGGACATCATCAAAGTAAAGGAATTCTTGGCAACGAGAGGTCTTATGTTGAACTCCTCGAAAACCCAGCTTGTTGTGTTCAGGCCAAAGTCGAAACCTCTTGACCCCGATGTCAACGTTCAGATTGAAGATGTCACCATCACCCCTAGTGCACACGTGAAATACCTCGGTATAGTTCTTGACGAACATCTCTCCTTTGGAGTTCACATTGCACAATTAGAACGTAAAATAGGCTGTAAGTTAGGAATGTTTAGAAAGGTCCGAGACCATTTAACGATCGATGCTAAGAGGGCTTTCTACATCTGTTCCATTCAGTCCATACTTGAGTATGGGTCTAATTCCTTTGCTCACTGCCTTTCTGCCTCCCTCCATGACCGTGTTGTCCGACTTAGTAATAGAGCGCTGCGTATTGTATTTTGCATGCCCCGCCTATCTGATGTCTCCCTTGTTCTTGCCCGCTACCATATCATTCCCTTGTCTGTCAGGTACCAATTCAAGCTGTACGTTCTAACGTACCGTGCGCTTCATGATCTGGCTAGTGTCTTTGTTGCTAACTGTTTCTGTCTCCGCTCTAATTCTACCTGCACTAGTTCTCGCACCCGCTCTCAAGTGTCCTCTTCCCTTGCTCTTCCGACAGCCAAACGTCGCTATGGTTTATTTTCTGTCACTTTCCTTGGCTCTGACCGCTGGAATGCCCTCCCAGCGGAGGTCCGCTCAAGTTCTTCCTTGCATACCTTCCGTAATTCTGTTCTTCATTTTTTAGGGTACCCTGTCAAAAGGCCTTAGGCCTGTGGGGATTGCCCTATCAAAAATTTAATAATAATAATAATAATAATAATAAGTGTGGGAAATTCCAAGGACGGCAGTAAGATCAATGTCAGTCCAGAAGCGCCAGTGGGCGACACCGTCAGTGCGCTGGGACCACATAAGGGAGGTTCTGCTATACGTGAAACGTAGAGAAATCACGTAGAGAGCAGGTGTCTGGGTTAGAGTCTACGGCTTCGCGTGTTTTGGCTCCAGATTTCTACGCGGAGATGGGGTTCTCTACGTTGTGGCACACGCAGAGAAAATGAGTACGGATTTGCTGGGTATCGATCAACTGCATGCAGAAAACTGCCAAATATGGAAGGGGAAATTCCCAGTACACATTCCACGTGACTTCTCTAGGTGAAACGTAGAGCAGAACAGCATTTCTTTACGCTACGGGAACGCGAAGAAAGTTCGCGTGATTCTTTGCGTCGCGTTCCCAAAACGTAGAGCAGAACCTCCCTATACTACTAGTATCACAACGTCAGTATCGATCTGCTGAAGAAAGAAAAAGAAAAAAAGAAAAAAAAAGAAAAAAAGAGGAAAAAACCTTGATGTTGTTGTGTACACTGTGTGCACACGGCTGTCAAGAAGCGGCAACTTAGAAAGATGGCGTCGGTTCGAGATGGCATGGTAACCGCGCACGTGCCGTGGTCCGTGACTTGCTCATGTATGCACGCAAATGCAAGTCACAAACTCACAAAGATCGTCTTTGCATTTGGAGAATATCTTCGACTCTCTTTGGACGTTGGCGAGGTTTGCCTAATCTTTACTTGATAGCGATGCCGGTATGTTCTCTCAATAATTAGAACAAAGAGAGCTGATGATCGCTTCATTGCTGAGCAGAAGCAACAATCAACTCTCCTCATGTCCTCAGTGCCAAAGGCAGACGACTGCAATTCGACAACGCTCATTTCACGATGATGGAAACAATAATCGTGTACTAGTACACACTTGGACTATTTGGCCATCCCTATTCTAGCCGCTAGTCCGTCCAGCAAGCAGATATTGACTATTACGATAAGTACAACTGCGTGAACGAGGCCGGGCTCACCCAGCAAATTCAATTCAAGACGTGACTCCAGTCAAGAATTAGGGTCTTTACTCGAGAACTTCACAAATACAGGTCAAGGCACCCCACAAAACTGATAGATGGCACGAACGAAAGACAAATAGGCTAGACAAAGTGTCCCAAGTGATTGAAAACAGCAGATCTACCAAATAAGACAGCTACATGTGCCTAAACAACGATTCCCATACAGTAGAGAGTAGTATCAGGCAGAATGAAAGCCTTGGAAGTGCACAAATACAGCCACGACCGCCACAAAAATTGGACGACCGCCACAAAAAAATTCTCATTGCTCTACCTCCTTGAAGGGTGAAAGTTACCAGTTATCCTATAGCGATGTCAGTTTATGCCTGTTGGAACCCCCCCACAGCCCGCACGAAATACCTTTCAAATAATTCCAGGATGCAATTGCAGCTCCAGACAGGAGGAAGAAGAACACCGTGAAAAATAACGGCAACGATGCCCAAACTCTCGGGAAACGGCTGAAGTCTTCCTGAAGATGTTAACATTGAATAGCCATCGATTACCAGCGTGGTTTGGTGACTTTAGAACTGTTTTGAGACTTAGAACGAAGCGATATCTCAAATTTGATGGAATTGTTACCTGTCAAATGCGTGGGCGAGCAGGCCAGCTGACTGGTTATGCATGAACATGCATGAGCATGCATTGATTTTTCATGGTTCACGTGCAGAAAACTAAGTTGCCGCGATCCAAGTGCAGCTAACAGCCGTGTGCATGAGAGGGTAAAAAGTAAAAAAATAAAAATAAAATCCTCCCGCCCTCCCCGATTTTTCCAAAAAAAAGGACGATCATCTAGTAATTTTTTTTACTCGGCCTAATATTGCCAGTACGGTAGTAGTACAAAGTCATGTACTGTCACAGTGTAAATATTTTTATGACTCAATGAGTGTTATCACAATAATAATTATGCGGCGGCTTGATGACGATGCCATAGCGGCGCTGATTCTGAACAAGGCCAGTACATTAGTCATTAATAATTATTGTACAGACAGGGTCGAAAGCTTTATTACGGAAACGTAATAGTACATGTAGTACATGTACATAATTGAAAAGTCAATAATTATTTTAATTGTGGTGCAGGTACCTAGGTCTACATGTAGCTGCCGATCTCGGTATTTCTCAATCAGCATAATTATACGTAAGTTGAAGATCTGCTCCACCGTACTACTCTATACCACGCAGTCTACGGCCTGCGCGAAACCCTGTTTGCTCAATGAAAAGTTGTGGCAATATGCGAACATATAGACGTCGTTGCATTGACTTTTGTTGTACAGTTTTAGAGTGGCAATTAGTAATCTTACATGACATTGTGTACGACTCTCTCATGTGTTACTTTGAATCTTCGGTCTCACTTTCTTTGTGACAGGAACGTACAGTTTGCCAAGTCACCTGAACAGCAGAACAGGCTGCGCGGCGGCGGCGATGCCAAGTTGTTGTGTCGTTGGCTGCACAAGCAGGACGAAACATCCTGCAGGTGTGAGTTTTCACAGGTTCCCGAAGGATGACCTCTTGGCGAAACGCTGGGATGTGGCCATATGCCGTGAAAACCTACCAGCCAGTTTTCGAAGCACGAGCTATGTTTGTTCGCTGCATTTTTGCCAGCAAGACTTTACGGTCCAGAGAGACTTGAGGGCCGAGCTGACAGGTATGCCCGCTAAGAAGGCCCTCATCCATGGAGCAGTGCCCTCAATTTTTCAGCCTCCAGCGAAGCGGAAACCCAACACGAAGAAGCAACTGCGAAATCAGGACGAGGTAGGTATAGTCGCAGATGTTAAAATAATGGCTGATGTTGGGCTTGGAGTTGGAGGTTGTCTAGTCTTCATCATGCATGACATCAGTTCATCTGCGAGTCTGCGACTCAGACCTAAATCCACTGTTTCAGTGTTTGCGATGGTTGTTCGCTCCCAAAACTTTTATCTGAAATGATGAATATCGAATGGCGTCTACATTTGTAGTCTGTGCACTCGTACGAGCGTCGGGTCATCGTGGCCAACTCGCAAGCGGCTAGCTAGCTAGAGCTAAGGCCAGCGCGCTGTTCCGACTGAGCACTGACATCTAGATCTGTAGATTAGTGTAGTCTGTACGATAGTACATAGTGCTGGCAACTGAAATCCGGGGTGGTCGGATTTCAGTTGCCAGCACCGTAGATCTACGCGTAGGCGTAGTAGCTAGATACCGGTATGCTCGATATCGTCGCTCTACCCGCGGTCGCGGGATATGCATGGCAAGGGCGCTAGCTGCTCAGTCGTGACGTATGAACCTCTCATGCTCGACGGCGTGACGTGGTGATAGATCGTGACCTTCGAGTTCGAGTTCGAGGAACTCAAAAATTTGAGTGTTGTGTGTGTGTGTGTGTACCTCCTTGGTACCTAGGTGTACAGCTAGCATTTCGAACGAGTCTCTTGCCTGAACTAGCTGACATTGGAGCCCTGCACATGTCTTAGCTCGAGAAAGGTTCTGAAAGCTAGGGTCGTGGCTGTGAATCGTGGACACCATCAACATCAACAACAAGTGACCTTCGGTGTTAACAATTTCCTAAAATTGTTTCTTTCGCACACGATATATCGAGAATTTTCTCTCCATCAGAAAATTGTATGAGAGTCGTAGGCATCAGTTAAGTTCATGTAGCTAGATAAAGAGCTCAGGCGATGGAAATTCCCAGTGGCCAGGACTCCTTTTCTTTGCCTGCACCGCCTGGAAAAACTCGTCACCGGTTATCTGCAGATGGTGACGATTTGGACGACGTAGAGTTTGAGGAAGAACCCAGGCGGTACAGTTACAGAAAAAGATCACGGGTGAGTTAATTCTTCAAATTGTATGACACATATTCTACATACTGTTGAGCCCCGGGAAAGTCACAGTTCCTGCTCCAGAATTCTAAGAATGTCTAGACATTGGAGGCAGTGATAAAAATCTCCAATCTCAATTCAAGGCTGGAAAAATGGTACATGTACATACTTCACAGCTGGCTGGGGTACTGTATAACTATAAGGCCATGGTAAAAATTATCTTTGATTCTCAAGTACGCGCGCACCGATTTTTGGCGGCGCACCGACGTTTTTTATTTTATTTCTATGCATGCATATGCGTGCATGAAAAAGGTCAATGCGAAAGGCATGAATCAGGGAGCCCCGGTATTTTTCTACTCCCGATCCCTGGCCTGAATATAATGAACATGTGACCATGTACATATGTGTGACCCTATCTTTGGAAATATAAAAATTGTGGGAAATAAAATAAAAAATCGCTCGCTCGCACCGATTTTCACAGGCTCATGACCTGAGAATCAACTTTATTTTTTTACCATGGCCTAAGTACTAATTTTCGTTTGGAATTAACTTTCGCTATATTCGTTTAGGGGGCGCGAAATAACGAAAGTTTGTACCAAACTATTTTTTTTCCTGAACGTTCGGGGTGACAGACCTTGACCAAAAACGAAATTTAGTGCGGAACAAGCCGGTAGGTGGAGTGAAATAACGAAAGATTTCTTGAACGAAAATTTGTACTTATACAGTATTCAGTTTTTATGAGATTCCACTCCACTTGGGTACGATCAAGCCTCTTTTACGGGCAAACAGAATACAATTCATGGTGCCATGGTGAAGGATTGCACACAACACCAAAACATGAAAACAATTGTATTTGTAAACAGTGCCATTTGGTAGAGGAAAGAGTCAAGAATCCCTACTCCCCTTTTGATTAAAAAACACAAAACAAAAAATTGCCAGGAAAATGCATGGGCACTGTCCTGTCCAACATCATCTCCAAAAAAACTCACCGCCGGCCCTCCGAGATTGCCAACTCTTGTAACGCATTTACAGGACGGTGATATGATGATCGGGCACCGCGGATGCACATGATCGCCGACCGCAACAATGCAAAAGCGAGTCGACAACACCGGACATATGTCATTGTCTCGGCATCCAACTTCGTGTCCCCATTTGAAATGAGACCACACAGGCCCTTGGCAAATCTGGAGCACTCTGGCGCACAACAACCGGCCGTGGTGAAAACTAGTGGAGTAAAGGACCCACGGTCCACATTGATGATGCGCTCAGCATACTCCAGCTTCTTCTTCCTCTCATGCTCCGCCAACAGTTTCTCGAGAGGTCTGGTAGCATAGGACGGAGCATCGGGATGAAAAACCCGGACATCCAGGAAAACATTCTGTGCACTGGTCCACAGCCCTCGAGCCCGGATATCAGCGCGAGCAGCGTTGGCTTTGTTAGTTGAGGCTGCCAGAAACACGTCTCCCGAAACCGGAGCAAGCTGAGGCTCGACAGTGACATCCGAGCAAACCTCAGTAAGTCGGCAAGAATGTCGTGAACTTCAGTGTGTCGAATGGTGGGGAAACCACCAGTAGGGCAACACATGCCATGGGCCGGACTAAACACTCCACTTGGGTCATGCATTTACTAGTAATATGAAAATGCACATTTGAATCAGTTTTCCCTCGATAATGATTGAATGTGCGTATATCACAAATTAGCACACGGAGAAACGAAGCCAGTTGAAAATCTGATGAGGCCTTTCGTACCAATTTCTTCTCTAATCAGTACATGGTGATAATGTGACGAAGCATAACGGTTTCAATTTATACAGCATATTGGCGGAAAAATTGTGATGAAACGTACACATTTATAGTTCTTGTACTCTGTGGCGCAACTCACACCATCATTCAGCCTGTGTACGTTTCATCACAATTTTCCGCCAGTATGCTGTATTAATTGACACCGTTATGCTTCGTCACATTATCACCATGTCCTGATTTGAGAAGTAATGGTACGAAAGGCCTCATCAGATTTTCAACTGGCTTCGTCTCTTCGTGTGCTAATATGTTTCCCTCCGACTAAGTCTCTATTATAAAGAGTTGGTGGACAAGCCGTTGATTATCCACTCTCATTGTAATATCAAAAAGTATTCTTTCGAGACCAAAGAGTGGTATATTTGATAAATAAAGATAGAACTACTTACGATACTTCTCCAGACGTTTCGTTGTTCTGAACAACATCGTCAGTGGATAAAGAATTCTTTATCCACTGACGCTGTTTTTTAGAACAACGAAACGTCTGGAGAAGTATCGTAAATAATTCTATCTTTATTTATCCAATGCTGTAGACAGCAAGCTGTTTCGGCCATAAAGGCCTCATTAGTACAGCTATGAGCTAAATAGGCCGAGCTACCAGCCATGGTGCAAAGGAGGCACCACAGACATTAAGATAGTTCATCGCTCTAGCGCCAGAGTGCTCAAACTACAAAAGTAGCGGGCATTGCGCGATGCAGCAGCACTAGAGCAGCCTACTGAGAGTGCTCAACAAGGCGAAAGCCGAGGAGCGTGATACCCAATGCTGTAGACAGCAAGCTGTTTCGGCCATAAAGGCGTCATCAGTACAGCTACGAGCTAAATATGTTATCTTTATTTATCAAATATACCACTCTTTGGTCTTTGGTCTAGAAAGAATACTTTTTGATAGTCTCTATTATAGTAGTACTTGGACTGTGATATTATCACAAATTGAAAGATTACTGAAAGAGAACTCTGGCCCAATTTATTTCACGTTGGCACGAAACTTTGACTTGAGTCAGCATGGTCTGTGTGCTGATCTTAGTATGGACTGGGCGAGGGGGGAGCAGTGTTCATACTTTAACTGTAGAAGCTCGTGGCAAAAGGTTCTTATTATAGCAATCTACCCACTGTCATACCCCAATCTGGGACGAGTGGATCCAATTGGACCTGAAGTCTTTAACCTCGTAGTACTTGGACTATCATACTCAATACAATACAGCCCGTCACGGCTGGTGATATTCCGAGCTCTGTGCGATGGCATTCCAGTTGCCCAACAGCACATGCGTATCCAAAGTATCTTACCGACCGTATTGTTAAAACATGCAGACCGTTCAGCAGCCTTATGCTATCAGGGGCGTGGACTTGCTGTGATTGCCAGCTGCCGCGCACCCCTTGAAAACCATAACTTATACCTTGCACACATTTGCCTGTAAAGAAATAGTGAAGGATTCCTAAGTGCTTGTGGCAATACATACCGGTAGTTTTTAACTCAGTAGAATTTACTCATCTGTCCGCACGCTGTACAACACCGCAAAGGGAAGAGCTTCCTTAGAGATCAGGCGGAGCGAGGTTTTATTATAACTCCAGTTTCGCTCGTACGCAATCATCAAGCATAATAATTCAGAATTACGTTGCCTGATAATCGCGAACACATTAAAGTTGAGTTGCAATCAAACAATTGTAACTCTTCACTTCTCCCTTTCTGTGAGCTACGAAGTCTGAAGAAAATGTTGAACGGTCTCTGCTGGGATGACAGCTACACTATAGCTCAGTAGTTAGAGCATCGCTGGCTTCAAGCGAAGGTCCCTGGTTTGAGTCCTGGTGGTGACAGTCAATTTTTCTTCAGACTTTCCCGTTTGCATCTTTCCCTCAAGCCTGTGAATATTCTTCTATTGTGCACTCTCGCAGACATGGCTTATCCTGAAAAGTCAGCGTTTGACTCGTGCACGGCTGACTTGATTTCTGTACATCCTGCACTGTGCACATGTGATTGGTCTACACATAATATGCACTGTACTAGACACCATCGTGCCCTGTACTGCACTCTCGCGGACAACTACAATGTAGTCCCATCTTCTATACACTATAACCGCAAGGCACTTGCTCATGGGTCCGCGTGTTGTGTTGAGCACTTAATGCTAGTGATATTGTTCACTATGCGGTTGGTCGTTTTAAAATCCTCAAAAGTTGGTGGTTGTGCGCCGAAGTGTCTTGAAATGTGTGTCTATGTACGGACCCTGAACACCATGATGATCATCGCAGTACTACAGTACAGTACTGTATGATGAGCTCCGAAATGTCCAGTGAGAAAGAATGCATGCTTCTGTTTGCTGTTTTCGCTACAGGTGGAATATCGGGAGACTGCGGTGTCACTGGATAACTTGACAGATGATGAGGGTGGTGGAGGACATGCCGGGCCCAGTATACAGCTACGAGATAGCAGTGATTTGTACTATGGGGTAGGTGCTGGCGATGCTGCAGGTGGCGATATGGGTGCACTATCCAATGATGAGCAGCAGAATCAACTATCCGGTCCCGAGGATATGGATGATTCCACCGATGAAGGTTAGTGGATATCACATGCATGCATCCCACCAATGATGGATTGTGACCTTATTTGAGGTTGTAGCCTACGCTCACTGGTAATCATTTAGTATGTGTGACTTGAAGTCACTGCCAAACAGCGGTAGGTCTCTTATGCATGTGATCATGGTCTATAGCAGTGGAAACACCATACTGGCAAGTTGAGCCAATGCCCCTTACCTATTGTAATTGGCTCTAGATTATTTATGATGTAGCTCTCAGATTCCGCGTATCGTACCTTTGGCCATCTAAGAAAGACAGGTATTGCCTTACACTGCTGCTGCTGCCGCTACCCGTACCACCACTGTTTCCATATGCCATTTTTGTCCTTTTCTTCGTCACTATGTTTGTCGTCAACTTGCTTGTGTTCAGGACTGTCAGGTGCAGCGTATGCCTCACGCTGTCCACCCAACTCCCTGACAGATCAAGAAAAGCACATGTTCCCCGACGTCCATCGAGCACCATATTTGCACAAGCCTTTCATTTATTTCCGCAACTTTATTGTAAGTCGTATCTCCGCGCAATGGCGTTGTTGTTGTGTCATGCATGCATGCACTCCCATGACGGCCCCAGCAGCTGGCTGGCCATCACACGACACCACTGCTAGTGAGTTACGAGTGACAGAGATCTACATGAACGATCTTGCCATGATGCCATTGCTTTCGCCTACTACTGTAAATGTAATGTGTGTACACCTCTGTGCCAGAATGCTGGAAGTTCTTGGGTGAATACTGCTACACTGCATGCTTGCACATCCATTGTACATGTACCATGGTCCTTATGCACGTTGTACAGGTGTGCGAAGTTCCATAGGTGTGTATATGTCTGGTTAGATGGTCATTATGTGCTATAGATGGTCATTATGTGCTATAGATGGTCATTATGTGCTATAGATGGTCATTATGTGCTATCAAGAGTACATACTAGTAACCCCCGAAAGTGTGCAACTTCACTATGGTTGGTGTCCCGACAGAACTTCAAGTTGTCGTCATCATTGATGATGCAAGCAGCGTTATACCCGTATTATATCAGACCCATCCTGGACGTGTTGCGGACAAATCCCCATGTGATCCTGTATAAACGTGTGCAAGGAACACACATGTAGTGCGTAATACCCTGAAAGGTGGAGAGGGAGTATGAAACTGTTCATTAGAACCTGTAACTAAGGCATGCCATTCCCATGGACATACGAGCATGCCTATTTGTACATGTTCCTGTCTTCCATTGCAGCTGCATATGTTCCTGTCACGCCCGCAATATGAACTTACACTTGATAGTGTCAGATCTCATGTGGACTCTTCGCGTACGAGTGAGTGGCAATCATTTCTTTGCTTGTTTTCAAGTACATTGTACCCCGCTGCATGATTGTACTTTGTGTAATAAATGATTGCCTTGCTTGTTACATGGCCATAACCAAGAGTGCAGATCTCCCTAGAGTGCACAACTGCCGATGGGCTGCTTTCACGACTTGTCGGAGTGACGTCACTTTTCCTGGTGTGGTTAGCTCTGTGCATCTTTTCCAAGGTGCATACAGTGTGTCTTTGTGTTCAGTCAAATGGGTTACATCATGAAAATGGCATCATTCGGAAATGAATTGTGATAAATGTTTATGTAGAATTGCGCAATGCGCACGCTGCATTGGGAGGTACCGTAAAGTACCGTTGATCCGCCCCCTGTCGATGTTTTGCCTGTAAAGCGACTTCGGCGTATACAACGAAATACGATGTTGAACCGACGCATGCACTGCTGTACACAATACGTGCCAGTGCAGGATGAAAATGTGCACAATCCAGCACATCGAGTCTGATCTTCCACATTGTTGTACATCGTACTGCACTTGACAGCGTTGATCTAATTCCCGCCCCCTGCCGAAAACCCAGCTGGGAAGCGACATGGCGTGCGGGGCGGATCGACGGTACTTTACGGTACATGTATGTAGAAAAAAAACTTTGATTGCTGTGGTGCACGATCATGCTAGATCTCAAGTGCTGTATGTACTTTGTTGCATTTGAAGCTGAAGCCTTCAAGCAGGGGGACTAGCTCACATGGTAGAGCGCTCGCTTAGCATGCGAGAGGTACCGGGATCGATACCCGGGTTCTCCAAGCAAACTTTTTTTTCAATGTTGTATTTGCTAAGGGGCCGTTCGGGGTTACCGATTGCTTTTACAAAACGTAAATTTTTAGTACTTTTCCGCCCCCACACACCTACCTACCTTTTCTGCAGGTAATACGAATTCCAACCAAATATTGATGTCAATTCTCGGCATCCAGAAGTAACTGGGCATTCTCCACCTGCATGCTATAATTACTTTCAGAACGAAACTCCTAAAACCCACCCACCCCCAAACGAAAACGTTTCGTTTTGGAAATACTATTAGTAACCTGGGACGGCCCCTAAACCATTTCTTGCACTTGGCTTGTGCATCTGTTACATAAAGGCTATGTTTACATGAGAGTTTTCTACCGAGTCTGAAAGTCTGTATGGTGGGAAGAAAAATAGAGGTGGGTGTATACATGAAGATGGTTGACCCAGTGAGGTTACTGATATGCCGCTGTGCCCGGACACAAAATCTGAATAAACAGTGCTTGTTTTAGGAAATTTAGATGTCTGGTGCTCCTAAAATACCATGTGTTCTACGACGTCCGTAGCCTAAGTCCGCGTTCAGCCTCCACACCACACTATGAGCAAACTACCACATGATTACGCTATAATTACAAACAGGAAACAGGGAAAAAGGATGAGCAATGGCGGTCAGCAGACCATGAGAGAACGACTGCTTTTCCTCGGCAAGGAATGGTCATAAAAGGAAAATGCTGGTGCAAGAAAGGTTGTACTGTACATGTACGAATATGTAATCTCAGTCCCGTATGCGGCAACGCGAGCGCGGAACGTGCATCATGACATGATGCAGCAGTAATACAATGATTTCATGGAAATCAAGAATATGCGGGCAGATGCGTTACATTATCAACTAAGTTTCTTGAAATAGGAGCACTTCGTGAGGTGGCCAGCGTCTCCACAGAGGCTGTAGGGCCCCATCTCTGCAGCAACGGTGTGCTGCTTTGGCTGCAGGTGTTATCTGGGTGCAATGATTAGCCTGCTGGCTTGCTGTTTTCATGGTGAGTTGAAACACAACCCGTGTCCAACTTAGCCCGGGTTGAAAAGTCTCATGTGAACACAGCCTAAAATCTCCTTGTAGAGTGTACACATGGAGTGTATTGAGCATACCCTACAAGGCGAAACCTAGAAAAAGAGCAAGTTTTCCCAGGTGTTTCCCAAAAATGACTGTCGAATCACCCCACATACCAATCTTCGGCAGTGAGATTGACAGTACATGTATTTGTAGCGGACTCTTCTCCCCTGTACTACAGTTTGTCTTATGCCATAATATGGAGTTGGTGAAAGTAGTGTCTGGTCGTGGTGCTGCTTGGTGTATGACCTTTTCTATGATTTGATTGGTCTTCTGGTTGTTGTGCAGAAAATCATCAAGATTTGCTCGAGCGAGTTTTCCAATACCTTACCAGAGTCGGTCTCATCAACTTCGGTGTGTATCGCAGAATGTCACCCATCGTAGGTAGGTGATCCTTATTAGTACTTGCTTGGCTGGTGTGGCTTTTCGTCTGTTATGATGTTGTGATATGATTTGCTTTTGTGTATTGTGTTTGCGTGTAGAACTTGATGTTCGTCCACGTGTGATAGTCATCGGTGCTGGTGTAGCTGGATTGGCGGCGGCTCGGCAGCTCATTTCCTTCGGCTTTGAAGTTGTTGTACTCGAAGCTCGGGTGAGTCAGCCAACATGGTCTCCTCTCTCTCTCTCTCTCTCTCTCTCTCTCTCTCTCTCTCTCTCTCTCTCTCTCTCTCTCTCTCTCTCTCTCTCTCTCTCTCTCTCTCTCTCTTTCTTTTCAATATCCATGTGCAGTCCATAGCCATTATGGTGGTGTTGCATTAGATGTACATGTAACGTCTGTGTGATCATTGCTTTGCGACAAAAGAACCAAACATCTTTTCAGGTCGGCAGGCTTGGAACAATAGCCATCAGGCTTCCTCTGCCTTGAGAAATGGACCACTTTATATCATAATATCATTTGATGACTGATAGCAGGCGAGCATGACATCCTTGCTCAATCTGACTGGTGACGTCACGCAAGTAACAAGGCCGAAGTGAAGCAGAGTGATGTGTTGCAACTCTGAGGTGCATGGTTATGTGGTCACCAGACAACTACAGGCTGTGTGCACTCTGTACACCGAACACTCTGCCAACAACAGACCCCACCATTAACTGGCTCTGCACTACCTCATGCTGACATGTGGAACCAGTTATCACACTGTGTTTGTGATGTGCTATCCTGATGTTGTGTCCGGCATCCTGTATACTAGTGCGGTGATGTGAAACGTATGTGCCTGGCTGTTGTGCACATATATTGTTCTGTCCAGCATCGCTAAAGGGTGGCACAGCAAAGACTATTAATTTATGGTGCTGCTTTTTGTGTGTGTGTATGTGTGTGTGTTTGTGCAATATGTGCCGCTGTAGAAAAGAGTTGGTGGTCGAGTTGCTAGTTTCCGCAAGGAGAATTTTGTGGCCGATCTTGGAGCCATGGTTTTGACAGGGCTAGGTAAGACCAAGATCAGATGCTGTCAGCTATGTACATGTAGTAACTGTGGCCTGTGTTGAGCCTTTGGAGTGATTTGTGTAGTCGACAAGAAAAGGCATTGTATGGGCACTGTGATTACTTTACTGGGTGTGTGTGCACAGTGCTCCTACATGTGAATAATATTGGTTGGCAGTATTGGTTGACAGAATTCTGCTCAACTTTGTCCTTGCAGGAGGAAATCCATTGGCTGTGCTTTCCAAGCAAATCTCAATGGATCTTTTCAGAATCCGGCAGACATGTCCGCTGTACGATACATCAGGAGAACCTGTAAGTGCTTTGTATTAGCGTGGTGTTGCTGGTAACTGGATACCTGCGCAAGCTGCCAACACTTGACTGTTTTCATCCATACTGGTCCATTCCAGTGGGTTGTGCTGCGCTTGCTTACAATTTACCTTGAAGAAAAGAAAGAAGAAAACCCTACCCAATATATCGACCCTGGGCCATCATTTTCATTGCCAGCATCCCTGACTTGAATGGAGCATTGTAGAGGTTATGCAATTATGTCATCATTTAAAGTAGACATTGTGCAATTACATCATCAGCAAACGCCCGTGTATAGGCACATGTCAGGGCTCTCAAGTCTGGATGGAAATGCTAGTTTAGCTGCTTTTTGTCTTGTCAATAACTCTTTTGTTCCTTTGAAGTTCTTGGTGAGTGATACAGATTGGCATTTTGTGCACACATACATGTAGTTTCTATGTTTCAATCGGTGCTTAGTTTGCTATCTGGTTTGTTAGTCGCCAGTCAATGCCAGCCCATTTCCAATTGCATTGACTTCCGTTTTCTTCTTGTTTTAGGTTCCCAAGAGTGTAGATGTGATGGTGGAAAAGGAGTTCAACCGGCTACTGGAAGCATCCGCCTATCTGGCCCACCATCTCAATTTCAGCCACATCGGTTCGAAAGAGCTTTCCGTTGGCCAGGCGCTGGAAATGATTATCAAGTATGTCACTGTGCTGTATCTTGCTGTATCTTGCCAGCATGTGGTCCAGACTTCAGATGTTTAGCACATTACAGCTGTGGGATCAGCCATATGATACACATTGAATAGTTCAAAGTGGACAGGCAGGTGCAATGTGTCTGTGACTGGTCTTCATCCTAACGTGCACCGCAACATCACCCGTGTGTTTAGTAGAGTGTATAGCAGACAGACTGGGGTCGGTTGATCATGGAGCCAGATATAACTTTGAGTGGATAGAAAAGACAAATACCAATCTATGGATAGCAAGCACGTTGTGATTGAGCAGACATGTACTTGTACGTGTAGATGTACTAAATGATGAATTCCACATTGCTACGCTGTCCTCTTGTATGTATTCTGCTTGTCAGTATTTACTGAGGAGCTCTTGGAAGAACCGCTTGACTGGCATTGCTCCCTGTTTACAGTGTTTAGTGCTGACTAGTGTGTGTCTGTGTGTGTGTGTGTGTCTGTGCCTGTGTGTGTCTGTGTGTCTGTGTGTGTGTGTGTGTGTGTGTGTGTGTGTGTGTGTGTGTGTGTGTGTGTGTGTGTGTGTGTGTGTGCGTGTCTGTGTGTGTGTCTGTGTGTGTGTCTGTGTGTGTATCTGTGTGTGTGTCTGTGTGTGTGTGTCTGTGTGTGTGTCTGTGTGTGTGTCTGTGTGTGTGTCTGTGTGTGTGTGTGTGTGTGTGTGTGTGTGTCTGTGTGTGTGTGTGTCTGTGTGTGTATGTGTGGTGTGTATGTGTGCGTGTGTGCGCG